ATTATGAATGAGTTCTTTCGGACTTCCCTCAAATTATTGTTAAGTATTATTGTGCTGTTTCCATGTATGGCTATTTTAGAAGGTAAGGTAGAAGGTAAATCAAGTTGTGTTGATCAGAAAACATGTAGCAAATGTATTTGGCTGCCAATCTTGAATTAGATCAGTGTAGGCGGTGTTTGGCTTTCCTATGCTTTGTTGATAGCATTCTGTATTTATATTTATGTGTAAAGTTAAAAACATAACATGATGTGATGTCTATTTATAACTGTAAGCAGAGGGGTAGTTAGTTAATCCTCTTTTCGACTTGTATTACTTCAACTATCGCGATAGAAGACTTTTTTTTAAGGGGGGAAAATCATCGAATGACTGCTCCCGCCTGGGTGAGGCGGAAGGGAGTGTCAGACTCTTACTGACTAAAAACCACCCCGTTCCTTCTCCTGCACGTCGAGCCGGAGCCACGGTTACCCGTTAGGTTCTCCGCGACATCGCCATAGAAGACTAGCTTCTTCTATCAGGGTGTACTTATTTTCCGGTGCTGCAGATAGCCGTTAGGATTACTATAAGGCTTCAGGTCGAAGTAAGAGATTGAACGACGTGGTTAGGAGTCTGATACCCTCTCGTCTTTTCCTTGGCAGGAAGAATCATCAATCCCTTCTTAATCAATGATCCCCATTTTTTTCTGGAATTTTCTCCTACAGATCTCCCGATTGTGGAATGAACTCCCTGACGTGGTTTTCTCAGTGGGCTACAACATGGGGTTCTTCGAGAAGGGAGTGAATAGGTTTCTTAAGGGTCTGCAAGACGCATATAATGCCCCAATCGTTGCAGGCGTACATAGGCCACGGTAACCGCTTACCATCAGGTGAGCCGTGTTTTTTTGCCACCGTCGTGGTATAACCACTTATAATCCAATCCAATATTAAAGTCTAACGCTTAGTCACTCTTAGATACAACCAAAGCCATGCCCCATGTAATGAGTACTAGCCAACTCTAAAGCTAAATCTAAAACCTCGCTATAATTACATTCTTAACTTGTAAGTGAATTTTAGATAAAAAGTAACCAAAGTAAAAACTATTGGAAAACTATTCAGTAAAATGCTGCACGTTTGATTTCAGTAAAATCGTTTTCGATTTCAGAGAATCGGATTAACTATCCTCGTCTCTGAGAGCTATTTAAAATAATAGGAGAAACACTTCAATTGTAAGTTTTAACAGTTAAAAGGAAAATAACAAAGTGAATAGGTACTTATTAAGTGGAATATTTCAAAATTCTCAGTACTTTGTAACTCGAAGTTTTAATTAACTATAAATCATTATGGCAACATTGGATTTGATTTTTAAATTTCTCATCTGTCTACAATATTAATAAAATTTACAGTTCATCTGTAAATTTTATTTCTATAAGTAGGTATTCCAATATCAACAGAAACTTAAACTTAATTACATGACAGACATTATTAAATAAAAACAAAAAAGCACATTACCATTGTAAAAAAAATCCTTTGCTGGGAATAATAATAAAAAAATATCAGAACACCACCACCACTTAATTTTCGAACACGACAAAAAGAACCACAGATAATAAATTAAAATATAGATTAACAAAATGTCACATAAAAATTACGCGCGAAAACGAATTATTAACTGTCAAATTACTTTTTTAAAACATTCTAAAATAAGTATGTAGTATTTTTATTTATTTATAAACGTTTTTGTTTAGTGTAGTTACAGGATAAATCGCAATATACAACTGAATACTGATTTAAAAACATAAACTGTTGGATGCAGTGGGTCGTGTCTATCAATTGACTGTTTCCTCATTGTTTACTACCCGTTGTTCAATGTTGTTGGACACAATTGACATTCAAACAATATACGTAGGTATATTTGTATAGGAAAGAATGGAATTTTATATAAAATATAAATATCCTGTATTCTTAAGTACTGGAATGCAGGTTTGAAACCAACTAAGTAAGAAAAGTTTCACTTTTCCGAGTTATCATTCCATTTTTAAAGTAATCAGCGCGTATTTTTATATTTAACCCTGCTGTGCATAAGATATATTTTCAACCAACTTCAAAAAAAAGAGGAGTTTATCAATGGGGATGATGACAGGGTATGAAAATTAAAAATATAATTAGTCCGAAAGTTAGGTAATGAAAAAATATTAGACACGTATTTTTTTACTTTGTCGTATAATAAAACAATACTTAGATAAAACGAATCAAAGTTTAGGAGTGGGGGCTAAAACGTCATTTCTTAGTATAAAATGTACTGAGAAGTGACGTCACGCGACATTTCAAATCAATATATCTTCGAAACTATTCGTTTCTGTGAGAAAATAAAAAATACGTGTCTAATGTTTTTAAATAATCTATCAGACGGACATTAAAATAAAAATTAGTCGTCTACCCTATTCGACTGTATTTTTTACTTTAAATTTAAATCTGGAGATTTAGGGCCTGTTCTTCAAAGTCTAATTCAGTTCCTGTTAGTTTAATTTGACGTATTTCCCACACGAAATGTGACAAACTTAACATATCATAGATCACTACATAGTATAAAACAAAGTCGCTATCCGCCGTCTGTCTGTCCCTATGTAAGTAGGTATGCTTAGATCTTTAAAACTACGCAACGGATTTTGAAGCAGTTTTTTTTAATAAATAGAGTGATTCTTAAGGAAGGTTTATATGCATACATACATAACATAACATCACGCCTTTTTATCCCCGAAGGGGTAGGCAGAGGTGCACATTATACCACTGTACAATGTAACACCCACTTTTCACTATTTGTGTTATGCGTCCTATGTAATAGGGGGTGAGCCTATTGCCATATACCGGGCACAATTCCAGACTCCGTGCTACTACTGAGAATATTTAAAAACCCAGTAATACTTTGCCCGACCCGGGAATCGAACCCGAGACCCCTTGCCCGGCAGTCGCACTTACGACCACTCGGCCAACAGGGCAGTTTATATGCATAATACATGCATATTGCACCCGTGGGAAGCCAGGGCGGGTCGCTAGTTAGCAATAAGACACATTCTACACAGACTTAAAATATACCTCTATATATACTGACTCCTTACATAACAACATATATTAAAAGGTTATCATACAATAACTTACGAAGATAAAATAAATCGAGAACAAGGATTCTCTAGTACAAGTACTTAAGTGCAATAAGTATCCCTTGTCATAAAGTATTACGACTTGGTATGGATAAAGAGGCTAGATGCACTGGTAGGGGCCAGGTCATTGATCCCTGACAGTCTTTGTCTGCAAACGTTATCAAGTAGTTTTAGGACTTGTATAAAAAGGATCTTGTATAAAAAGGGTTCGATTCCCGGGTCGGGCAAAGTATTACTGGGGTTTTTAAAAAAATCTCAGTAGTAGCACGGAGTCTGGAATTGTGCCCGGTATATGGCAATAGGCTCACCCCCTATTACATGGGACTCATAATATAAATAGTGAAAAGTGGGTGTTACATTGTACAGTGGCATAATGTGCACCTCTGCCTACCCCTTCGGGGATAAAAGGCGTGATGTTATGTTATGTTATGTATAAAAAGGACATTTTTTTATATAAAAAAGGATAGTTTTTAATTTGGGAATGACTTTTTATTAACGTGTTTTGTAGTTGTACAAAATGTACAATTGCACATGTGGAGTATGAGTAGGTAACTATGTGTTTCTTCTAGACAGTACCTACAGCACAAAAATGCTTTAACATATCTGTGTAGTACAGTTTATATATATAACTTTTGAATAGAAGATTATAGATGTAGGTACTTACTATAAGCACGGCGGGTTTAGTTATAATTATTGTGGCTTACAATCAATAACAAAATTAGCCTAATATTGTTGTATTTTGTTAAATAGTTAATAAAGTTAAGTTATGTAGTTAATAAGTACACGATGGTATTCGGCAAATCGAACAAACTAGATTAAATTAATTGATTATGAGATTTTTCAGAAATCAATTCCATTTCAGATTTTCACATCTCCAGATTCAGATTCAAATGCTCCAGTTTGATATTCTTCACCAAATTATTATCGTTACCATTTTTATTTTAAATTAAACACATTAAAATATGAAACAAATCAAATACACTTTTAATAATTATTGTGGCATGTAACATTTTTTTTAACATGAAAAGTAATTTCGCCTTATTTAAAAAATTGGGTAATACCCTTGTCTGGTATATTGGCAACACATTACACAGACACATAAATAAGTTTATTTAACAATTAATGTGTTTAAGTCAAAACACTGAAAAATAAAAATAACATAACATCACGCCTTTTATCCGCGGTAGACAGAGGTGCACATTACGGCACTTTATGCCACTGTACAATGTAACACCCACTTTTCACTATTTATTTTACGAGTCCCATGTAAAAAAGAAATAATTTTTATTTCTTTTTTACATGCGTTTTTACAGGTTTTTTGGTTACGGTAATTAGATAAAGAATGGCAAACTGGAGAATGACCGAAAAATCATACTTACGTAGGTATCACCTATTAAACTGTCAGTCACAATTCAGTTTAGTTATCAATTGGCTTACTAGTTGCGCTAAATAAACAGCTGATTTACTATCCCGCGGGTCGTACCAACTAGGTCATATAATGGACTCGCCGTGTAATCACTCTTATTGTTCCATTGTTTACTGTTGACCTCTAAAGCCCTTTTATTGTCCAAATTGTACCACGTGATATAATTTACCATTTAAAAATATGTGATTTTATTAAAAAAAAATAACGTTAAAATGTACGTTTGAATTTAGAATACAGAAAAAAAATGTTTACCGTTGACGTCACACATTCTGTTCGAAGTTTTCAAACGCGGAAATTCGAAAATAAATGTTCGGTTAAAAAATATATTATTTTTAACAGCTCGTTATTTGAATTTAGATTTGACAATTTTGTTAAATACACAGATATATATATATATTTTATTAAATGATTAAAATAAATACTATAAATAAAACAACTAACCTTAACGACGACTTTAAGAAAAATCCCCAAAACGTCAATTGTGAACTTCATTTTGTCTTCTTCAGCGATAACCACACGATTATTTTCACTTTTTTAATTCACTTTACGGACTGAAACATTAAGACGAAAGCCAATTAGAACACAATCCTGCCAATGTTAGGTATTACGCGAGCATTTTTATTGACCACCTCTCAAATATGTCCGAATTTCAAGAGCAGCTATTTTAATAACATTATTCAAACTTACCATTTTACTTTAAAACGTCCAAAATATAAAATTATCACAAAATTCACTTGAAATTTTTAGTGATATCGGTTTTTTTTTTTTTTTTTTTTTTTATTTTTTTTTTTAAGGGGGGAAAATCATCGAATGACTGCTCCCGCCTGGGTGAGGCGGAAGGGAGTGTCAGACTCTTACTGACTAAAAACCACCCCGTTCCTTCTCCTGCACGTCGAGCCGGAGCCCCGGTTACCCGTTAGGTTCTCCGCGACTCCGAATCGGCATCGGCCCTATTGGGCCCCATCTGTGGTGGTCTGATGGCTCTTTGAGGCGCGCGCGGAACGCGACGCGCCGTACGCTCGGGTCTGTTTCTGGTCGGACGGGGAGCCACCCATGCTCGCCGTCCGCAGGCCCGCGCTTACGGTGGCCGGAGATCGTCCCGCGATCCCCGACGCCCGGTGTGTCCTTCGCGATGGCTGGGTTGCGAGGAGGCAGCGCTTCGCTGCCTCACGCGTCCCGCCTCCTCCTTAGCTAGCATGACTGCTTCGCAAAAGGAGGAGACGGCATCCCAGTCCCCCTCGCTCCGCATCATGGCCTGCACTAGGCCCGGACGCGAGAGGTCGCCATCGCCGATCACTTCCCTGAGGGCACGGCGGTGCTCAGCCCACGCAGGGCATTCCGCTACGGTGTGTTCCACCGTGTCCTCAGGGCGGTCCTCGCAGTGATGACACCCGGGCGTTTCCTCCCGCCCCATCAGACACAGGTACCTCCCGAAACTTCCGTGTCCGGTGAGGACCTGCGTCAGGCGGTAGGTGAGGACGCCGTAGCGTCTCTCAAGCCACTCCTCAAAGAGGGGACTTACCGCTGCAATGGCAGCGAGCCCAGTGATATCGGTTTAAGTCGGGTTCGTCGGAAAAATATAATATGTACTACGTTTGGTTTTTATTGTGTGAACGTTTGCTGTGCGCACACGCATCGTGCGAGGCCAGGCGAAGGCGTTCTTAATATAGAAGCGAACGAAATCGGACTAGAGATCGGATCACCCAGGGATTTAGTTTTATACTGCTCAATTGTGGGGTAAAAAGAATTGTGAATACAGACGACGTCTGGGATACATATGTGCTAGACCTAATTGTCAAGTGTAATGATGATAAAATTATACTTTCCGAGATCTTCGGGAGACATACAGTTTCAAAGAATAAACAGATGTGTAGAGATGCAAGTCGGAATACGTTATAATTTTTTTTATTTGTCTTTTATTGCGGAATAAAGAGCATGCAATACTACTGACTTTATATTATAACTTTCGTGAGACATACTAAATTAATTATTATGTTTTCGGCTAACTCACGTGACTGTTGAAACTGAAACTAGTCGAGTTCTTCGTCAAAAAGTTACACGAGTTTGTTTAGAAAAATAGTAAAAAATTTAATATCAAATTTTGAGGTGCGGTTTGATAGCCCCCTTTCATAGCCTGAATATAAACGAACCAATACATTTTTGCATTCAAGATACTATATTATATTTTTCAAAAAACATAACATAACATCGCGCCTTTTATCCCCGAAGGGGTAGGCAGAGGTGCACATTATGCCACTGTACAATGTAACACCCACTTTTCACTATTTATGTTATGAGTCCCATGTAATAGGGGGTAAGCCTATTGCCATATACCGGGCACAATTCCAGACTCCGTGCTACGACTGAGAATTTTTTTAAAAACCCAGTAATACTTTGCCCGACCCAGGAATCAAACCCGACACCCGAAATGTTTTCAAAAAACATTTACTAATTACTAGAACTTAATTATAATATAACCCCAAAAACATAATTATTTAAAAACCAGTATTTAAATAAAAAAATGCCTTTATAAGCTCATATAAAGAGTTAGGCAGAAAGACCCACATAACATACCAGTCGAGTCTATTTAAATAATCTATGACCGCCCCTTCGCGTTGGTACTGATACTATAATTGATATTCATTACACGACTCGGTACATCCGAAGTTCCAACACATATTTAAACATACAAATATGTACGTATGTCTGTTTGTGTGGGCTAGTCAAAAATAACAGAACAGTTAACGAGTGCTTTGTGTTTAATTTACTTATGGCGTTCAATGACGTTTTTTGTATTATGTATGTACCTTAAGTATTTTGTAGGTATACGTCATAATTTGTTTTAACTATAAGTACTTCGAACTGTAACTGAAGAAGGTCTTTAGAGTAAATAATATAGATAGACCGGTACACTGCCTCATTGGCCGAGTGGTCGCAAGTGCGACTGCCGGGTAAGGGGTCTCGGGTTCGATTCCCGGGTCGGGAAAAGTATTACTGGATTTTTCTCAGTGGTAGCACGGAGTCTGGAACTGTGCCCGGTATATGGCAATAGGCTCACCCCTTATTACATGGGACCCATAACATAAATAGTGAAAAGTGGGTTTTACATTACATGCATTAAGTGCCGTAATGTGCACCTCTGCCTACCCTTTCGGGGATAAAAGGCGTGATGTTATGTTATGTATATAGACCGGTACACACAAAAGTTTAAATTTATTTGTATTGTAACTTTCGTGAGACATACTAAATAAATTATTACGTTTTCAGCTTATTCACGTAATAATATGACGCGGAACTCGACTAGTTTCAAGCCATGCTAGAGGCTCATATTCGCGACTGACGCGCGATGTCGCGACGCGGGTTGCGAAATGCTGCTAATGAATATGAGCCTCTATTAATTATTACGTGAGTAAGCCGAAAACATAATTTGTTTAAATTTATGTTTTGAGGGTAGAAAATCATCCATTGACTACTCCTGAATTGGGTGACGAGACAGAAGGTCACTCTTACTGACTAAAGACTACTCTGTTCGAACTCCTGTTTTGAACCAGATCCTCTTTATCTCGGTGGGTTGTCCGCAGTTCCGGGTACAAAAGTCAAAGTGAAAGTCAAAATCATTTATTCCAATTAAGTAAAGAAAGGCATTTTTGAACGTCAACAAATAAATTAAAAGTGAAGCTCAGTCCGAGGTGTAGATTCCTATGGAGAAGAACGAGCAAGAAACTCCATAGGTTACTCTTTTTCAATCACGTTCACAATACAATTCTCTAGTTACATAGTTTTGTTGTTAGATGATGATCATGATTTTCTCACATCACAAATGTTTTACTTACCATTCAGGAGATTAAAAGGTGAATCGTATACATAAAATAAAACAAATAAGTAATCCAATGTGAACCTAAAGCTTTCCTTGCATGGACTAAATCCTCTCAAAGTGGTTTCTGTTTTAGTACTACCTATCTACTCGGTGTTTACGTGTTCCCGGGTTAATCCGTTCACTGCACCTCCTAGACATATTTGTATCCGCTTATGTGTGGGTACGTAGTGCTACTATACCACGGTTCAGTTATTATTATGTAACAGCATAACAATAAGTATAAGCTACTTGAAAGAATAGATTAAGTAAAAACGCGGGTTACTCACGTGAATATACTGAGAAAAGCTCTACTAATTTCGAACCACAGAGGGGTTCTTCCTCATGAGCAGCGTGCGCGGTCGCGGCGACGTCGCGCAGCTCACGCTGCTCAGACTCAAGTCAGTGAGCTCTTGATGCCCTCTGTGGTTCGAAACTAGTAGAGCTTTTCTCAGTATATTCACGTGAGTAACCCGCGTTTTTACTTAATTTAGTATGTCTCACGATAGTTATTATAAAAACATTGAAAGAATAGGTTCTTTAAAACACTGCTTCATTTGTTGATTGGTTAGGTAGGTACTATTGCGTTGCCTAGTAACAGTTCTTTTCGTTTTTATGGCGTAAGCCGGTAACCGAGCACACGGATCACCTTATGGTAAGCAATCGGCATCACCCATGGACACCTGGAACACCAGAGGCGTTACAATTGCGTTACCGGCCTTTTGGGTATATGAGTTTGAGGATTGTTGGTGATTCAGGGATTGGGGCGTTTGGGGAAGGGGGAGCGTAATTGGGCCTCATCTCACTAACATGACGAAACACAACGCAAGCGTTGCTTAACGTCGGTTTTGTGTGAGGTCGTGGTATCACTCCGGTCGAGCCGAACCCATTCGTGCCGAAGCCTGAAGCATGGCTCTCCTACACTTATGAAAGTTCTACTGGTTAATTCTCGTGGTACACTTGAGGTATGTTCGAACTCATTACAAATACGAGCTATGGACTATACATATAGCTATAAGTCCTTATTACATAAGAAATAACAAGTAAAGAGTTTATACTTAAAAATTGCGTTAGCATATTGTGCGACCCGGAAATTGAACGCAGGACGCTAAGCAAGGGCCTCAGTTCGACAAATAAGGTATTTATTTAGTCTGTTTTAAATATTGATAGCTATTAAAGTCCTACGCAAAACTATACCATCAGAAAAACTATTTGCATCATCTACCATTTATCTATGCCCCAAGAACAGAGCTGTATCAACAGGACTATGTATCTCGATAACACTTCAAACTTCTGTGCCCACCCTCTTAATGAAAACAGCTTGAATTTAATACAAGTTGTACTGTTAGCTCCCCTAGGAACTATTAACTTGAGCCCCGCTATTGCCTTGACCTCAAACTCTTAGAAGTAAGACTAACATTTGAGCTAGAATTACTAGATTAAGTTTAAGCTCAATTTAAATTTAATCCTTACTTCCTTACTTATATTATAAATCGGAAAGTGAGTTTGTTTGTTTGTTCCGCTTTCACGCCATAACTACTAAATCGATTGCATCGCCATAACTATTTAATCGTAGAAGTCTGGATTAAATAATAGGGTACTTTTTATTCCGGAAAAATTTGATGTTTTCGTGGGGAAA